TCCACGCTGTTCCAGTGGAAGAGCTCAGCCTGCAATGAGAAAAACTAGTACACGTTATTAAGAATTCTGATAAAGTAGGCTGAATAAATTTGTTTTCTTTGTGAGCCTTAATCCTGTGTTGTATTGGCTTCTTGGACATGGCTAATTTATTTGGAATTCCATTCTGTTCCCGACAGCATTCCTGATTAGCAGTTTGATCACCCAGAGCAAAGTTACATACCAGCTTTCAACTCTTGTAATCTAGCAGTGTAATTTTTTCAAATGGACTCTTTTCTTCCCTTGTTTGCCTCAGCTCCCCTTCTTTTTGTGTGCAAAGAGACTTGAAAAATAACAGGAGGACCTGTTAGGAGAATGAAAAACGTGTTCAAAACACAATATAGTTTGCTGAATGCCTGACTCTGCTCTGGCCACAAAGCCTCTAATACAAAGCTCAGACTGGAATATGGAAACTTCCAAAATCAGAGCTAGTCAGAGCAGCCTGTACTTATTGTAAACCTGGTGTTGGGTGGCTATCAAAAAGGAGACTTAAGAAAGTAAATGAGTAAGGAGACAAAGCCAAAGCATAAAGCCTAAACCATGCAATCCCACACCATTTTTTTTTGTTTTTATTTAGTATGATAATAGTAGGTCTGATCATTCGTTATTATTCGCATGGTTTTAAATAAACTTAAGGGTTTTTTTTTTCTAGTTACACACATACTTAATAAGGACCTTGCTGAATGCAGACATATTTTTTGATCATCTATCTTCATAGTTTCCAAAAATCTGTTAATTTCCAAGTAGACCTTTATAAGAAATATTTCAAATATACCTTTCAAGAAATTAATTGCATTTTGAAAGAGAAAAATGAGGTTGGGAGCTGTGTCGGTGCAGCATGTGAAATGTTATCCTTGATAAGTGATAGAAAGTAAACAGGTTGGGTTTTTTTGAGTTTTGTGGGTGGTGTGATACCATCCTCAAGTCTGTATTTTGCCAGAGCACATTTTGCCTATGACATATAGATGAAACTTAACTATTAAATACAAGTTCAAGGGTAAAGTTTATCACATGCTGGACCTTGCGTGGAAATGGTGGTTGTGTCACTGTTCATTTCTGTCAATAGTGGCTTAAGCTGTCAAATCAAATGACTAGAAACAACAAATTTAACTGTAGACCAGAGACATTTTTGATCTGATCTCTTCTTAGTAGAGCATGGAAGGAGCATTGTCCAAGCGGAGCTTGAGGAGACGCAGCATGTAGCAGCCCTCTTCCGTGAGGGCTTAATCTGCCAAAGACATGTCATTGCAGATGAGAGGGAACTGGGTTTTCCATCCTGTCTTTGAGGCCCCAGTCTGGTTCTATACACACTGAGAAGGAAGCAAGGTTTTTAAGTCATGAGAGATTTGGGAATAGGCCAAAAATAGGTGGCCACAGCACTCCTCAAAAGACTCAAGCTGTGGTTTGCTGCATGAGTGCCTTGCCTGGAGAATGTTTTGAAGAGCTGGATCTTTCTTTCTGGTTTGTTCTGATCTTGAATTTTATGGGTCTGAAAAGCAGCTTTTGGCAAATATTTCATCAGAGCTGGAGCATGTTTTCCCATATTTCTAGTTTTGAAAAACTGGCATTTTGGTTGAAATGCTGTTTTGTCAAAAATAATCTTTAGTAGATTGATGTAAATTCTGTTAATTTAGTGGGAGAAAAAAAAACAAACCAAAACCCATTGATGAGAGCACTGAGAAAGGATGGTTTAGGGCTAGATCCGTTATGTCTGATAGCATTCAGTGAGAATTCCTTATTTCGCCAGCAAAATTCCAGAGGTTCTCTCCAACCAAAAAGTTATGCAGCTGAGTGTGAAGACTTAGCAACTTGTGTTGGTCTCTGACTGCTAAAGAGAGAAATGGATATAGTAATTGCCTGATAATAAGCTATTCTGAACTTGGAAACATAAATTCTAAATATTTATGCTGTTTTTTCCTTTGAGTCGCTAAATACTTTTGTATTTTTCTGTTTGTTCACCATTAGGTGGACTTTTTTTGGACATTAATACACTTCTTAATTAATCAGTGCGATTAAATATAATGGCATGCATGTGGTCTATTCTGCTACTTGTAGATCATGTTCTGATCCCACTCCTAGTGAGAAATTCCTATCAGTGAAAAGGAAGCAAGATCCTACTGCTGAGCACTGCAGCAACGTATGGAGGTGGCAGCAGTAACAGTGAAAGTCTCATCAAGTCTTGTTTAAAATACAGATGTCCTCGGGTAGTCACTTTTAAGACTGGTAAGGTTTTAATCCATTTCCTCCTAGTCCTTTTCTCACTTTTATTATTGTTTCTTCTATGATCTGTGTTCTTTTCTTGCCTTTAAATCTCACTTTTGACTGTCAGGCCTTTGAGGATGAGCTAGAGTTTTACAAATGCTTCTGGTTTTATGGACACTAAAGTAATTCTTAAAAGAAGAATATGTAATAAATGAAGTATCTTATTTCTGTTCTTGTTTTTCTTGATCATGGCAGTGGGCATCTGGAACTGACTGTAGAGGGAGGAGTATGTTTGCTGGGGATTTTCCGGTAGAAAACCAGTGAGGCAGGTGTTTGCTTTCCTTTGTTTCAATGCAACATTGAATGATCTTGATATGTGCATATTAATACAAGTTATTTGAAACAGTGATTGACTTTGTCAGATTTTGTCCTCTAAAGGTAAGAATACATTGATTTGGCCTCTTTGAAGTGGCATTTTGTTTTCAATGTGACTTAGAACTGCTTGTTCAGGAGCTTTCACCTATGTAAACTGTAGCAAGGTGCCTTTTTGACCCTGATAACTATAGGAGGCATGTGATTCTGAGAGATAAGTGCTGGTCTTGGGTTTTGCTCCTTTTCTTAGCAGTGAGCTGAGAACTTCAGTAGCCATTCCAACACCTGCAACTCTTTGTGTTTTTCTTTTGTAGATATCCTGACTTCTGAATGGAGGGTAAAAACAGTAAGTCAAATAGCCTATTTTTTACCTCTGATTTATAATAATGCTTTGGGATATATTTCAACTGATGGTAAGGGTGTTTTGTGATTGTTATTTTCTGCTTTGTTGCTTGTAAATTCACTTGATAATTTTAAGATTTTAGGAATGGAGTGATATTTTAGGAGATAGACTGCTTTATAGTTGGAACTGGAAAATTAGATGTGAAATCTGTTGCCTTGCATTTTAAAGGTCAGCAAGAATACATAATATCTTTTTTTACCCTTCATTGGGCACTGATTACCAGGGCAATCAATTATGTGATAATTTAAAAGCAAAATATGGAATCTGTCTCAGACATAGTTTCAAATGAAAGGATGTTAATAAACATTTATAGCAGAAGTAATAGTGTTGGTTACGCGATGAAAACATATGTTAGTAATAAAATATCACCCATCAGGAATACTGTTCTATCGTGCCATTGTTCTCTAGAGGTATGATTAGTTGCAAAATGATTGTAGCAAAATAAACTCTGAACAGAGAGGATGCTTTTATGTGTGAGACAGCATTCATTCTTCAAAATGGCAAATCAGAAAAAGCAGTGCCAGGTATTAGGAACATCTGTTGTGTGAAGAAGTAGAATTTGGGAAATCCAAATAATAATTTTCAGCATCTAGGCTTTCATAGTGCTCTTCCTCACTCACTGTCAAGCTACCTCACAAAAGAGGGAAGAACAACTCTCCATATCAAGCTGCATTTTTTAAACTCTAGCCACCTAGTGTTTTTATCTGTCATGTAGATTCGTCTTTCTTATGCTGTGCCATTCATTTTCTGTGGGAGGAAATCTGTCCTCAGAAGTGAAATTTAAGCAGGAAAGCACTCTCCTTCCATCTTCAGCAACTGAAATGCAGTATTCCTTTGTGTGAATAACTGGAGTACCTACGAAGAGTGCCAAGTTGACAGCCGTGGCATGTGGAGCCATAAACCTGCTATTGAGCAGGCAGCCATCGTGGAAGCTTACCCGGCTTTGTCAGCCTGTCCCAAGCAGAGCCAAGCACCAGGTGTGAGGGTTGTCCAGTTTCTGTTCTGGCTTTGACACCTCTTGGGCAATGCTGGAGGTGGCATAGCTGAGAACCACTTGTGAGCCGGAGAGGAGGCACCTGTTCACTTGGCACTGGAGTGAACCCCCAATTCATACTTCATGTGCCCTTAAATAACCACTGGGCTTCTCACTGCCAGCAGATTTAGCTGGAGCTGATGGCCAAGGCATAAGATGTGCCGAGTTACCTGACAGTCCCATTGGACTGTCATTGACTGTGCCAGGGGAAGTTGTTGTGCCAGGGGAGGTTTAGACTTGCTATTACAAACAATTTCTTCACAGAGAGGGTGTTCAGGCATTGGAACAGGCTGCCCAGGGCAGTGGTGGAGTCACTGTCCCTGGAGGTGTTAACACACCATGTAGATGAGGCCCTCAGTGCCATGGTTTAGTGGTGGACTTGGCAGTCCTAGGGTAAAGGTTTGACTTGATGATCTTAAAGGTCTTTTCCAACCTGTCTGATTCTAAAATCCTGTCGGTGGTTGTCAGTGACTGCTTGAGAGTGGACAGCAGGACAGCAGCAGGGTAAAGGAAGATGGTTGCCACAAAAGATGCATTGTCAGGTATAGCAATCGCATCCATCCAGAGGAGACAGACACACAGGTGTGCGCTTTCTGGAAAGAAGCAGATCTCATTGCCTCAACCAAAAAATTACAGCTACAGAATGAGCCAGCTGCCCAAGTGAGTATGTACAGTAGAACCCCTGGCTGTGGGCTCACAGTGGTTGTAGTGTAGCAGATAAAGCCACCAAACAATTTGTCAAACTGTTTTTCCTTCTTGAATCCCTTTCAGATGAAGTGAAGATTTCCTTTCTTCTCACCTGTGGGGATATAAGTTTCTTAAAAAAGCAGGTTAGAGAAACAGTTGTCGGGAATGGCATAGTTGATCTTGCTTCAGGGCAAGCTGGTAGACCTTTGGGTCCCTCTCATCCTTTTTCCTGTAACTGGAGGTGGCCCTAGTAACATCTCTTGTGTAAATGTTTGTTCTCTCCTGCCTGCTGCATTTTTTCAGCAACATCTTTGCTAGTTGAAAGGAGTAGTCCCTTTAAACTCAACATCTTTTGAAGTCTGTAGGTGTAAAAAGACACTCATTGTTCAGTGCACCTCCACAAAGATTCCTTCTTAATCCCAATTGTGTGTACTCATCCTTTGGTTGAGCCTTCTTGTGCAGAAGAATTTGAGTTCATTCACATTCTTTCATAAATGCACTTAGGGTAATACATCCCACTTTCTTTCTTTTTAAGCAATCTGATCAGTTGTGAATTCAACTCCATTAAAAAAATCCCCATAGTAGTTAAGAGCACCCATTAATGTGAACAAACTCCTGAAACTCCTCAAAGTATTTGCTTTTCCATGCCATTTAACTGTTTACAATGAGTGGATCTTTGCTTCTGATGCACAGTCATAAAAAGGAACAGACTATTAATTTTTATGTATATAAATTTATTTGTGTTGCCCTTGTAGAACATGTTGTAATCTTGTGAAGTTACCCAATCAGGACAAATTTGACCAGCAAATGGTACTGTAAGAGAATACTAACACTCAATATTTAGGCATGACATTTTGGTTCAAGGCAGAGTTCTGACAATTGGGAAAGCAGTCCTGACACTGTGGTATTGCTTGGACCTTGTTCAAGTCATTTCACTTCGTGCTCATCTTCACATTTTTTGTCTTCACAACTCCACTTGCCCAGGTCCAGTTCATGAAGTCCAGGAAAGGTTCAAACATCTACACAAGTTCTTTGGTTTCTTCTTGAACTGGTTCCTAGAGATTGAATTTGTTCTAATAGGGACTTGGCCTCAGCAAGGATCTCCAAGTGTTCCTGTACCTATTCCCTGATTTTAAAGGAAAAAGAATGCAAAATTCACAGAGCTTTTTCTCTGAAAGAGGCTTTAAGTTCTTTTTAGATGGAAAGTGTGGTTTCTGTGGAAAGGAGCTTGCTAATTGAGTATGTTCGAAAAGTGTTCAGAAAGATCTTAGCAGTTCCGATAATTACTCATTTCATCAGACCATCTATATTTAAAGTGAAGTACACTGAGTTCTTTCCTATAATGTCTACTTCAAATAACACTTGTAGAGCCAAATAAGGAAATAGAACAGAATCTCACAGGAGTTTCTTTCCCTTTTATTTCTATAGCTCAGAGACTTGCTGTAACAAAAGCCTTTCTTTCTATCAAAGCTGTTTAACATATTCAACCAAACAAACTATCTCTTAAAGAAAGCAGGAGCATTTTTTTATGTGCGCCTTGCTCCAGCAGTGGCTCTTGAGGACATTTCTGCATTTATCAATGTACTAAATGAGCGATTTTGGACAGCTTCTATGTTCTGATTTGTTGTGCCTTTTTTTATCTCCCCCCTCCCTCCCTTCTTCCCTTTTTAATTTGTCTAGGAAAAAAAAAGCAGCTCCTCCAATGTTGTTTCCTGCAAAGACCATTCTTCAGAGCTCGTTGGACAGCACAGGGCTCTTGAAGTGATAGCTAATTGGTGAAAGAAAGGCCCTGATTGTCTTGAGGGAGCTGGAAAGTGCTGCGTGTGCTGCTGAAAGGGACTGGGGAGAAGGTGCCTGGTTTCGCCAAGCAGCTGCTGCTGGAGATGTTTGGAGATTACATCAGCACTGGAAAAAAGGGGCAAAAAAAAAAAGGAGAAGAGAGAAGTCCAACTTCACAGAGAATGAGTTTATGGAGGGTTTTTTTCCCCTTCCAAAGGTCTTCTGACAATACTGTCATTGTCAATATAAGAGTTGTTAATTCTTTATGAATAGCACATGGGGCCTCTTGACTAAATAGTACGTTACATGTCCCAAATCTGTCAGCTGGACTCTTCTCTCACATGCTAGTGAGATCACTTTGGTTGGAATGCTACAGGAATTGCTGGGCTGGCCGCACAGAACTGAATACTGCATTTATATAATTAGACCTCCCAGATTTTTTTATTTTGCATTACCTCATTATTCTAGCTTAAATATGGAATCAACCCTTTTGATGATTTTACTGGTTGTCATTATATTAATACGGTTCATTTTGTGGTCCTGTCTTAGTGCTTATATAGATTATAAACTGTCCCGAAGGTTTCCTGACACAAGAAAAGAGGACTAAGAGACATCAAAAGGCTTGTTGGGATTTCAGTTGACAATGGGGGGAACTGGATAAGGTAAATAGAGGTACAGCAGATTTTACCTTGGGATCTGATGAGAGAGAAATGACCTGTTGAGGCTGCAACAGAAGTGAAAATTCTTCAGAAAGCCTCATGCTGACAGAGGGGAGAAAAACTACAATTGATTGAGTCAGATAACTTCCTATCAAACTCAGGCATGAATTTGTTGTTGGGACCAGAGTTGTGGACTTGTGCCAAGTAAATGCTCTGGACAAGCTGGAAGGAATCCTATTACTGGGCAGTCCAAGACTGCCAGTGGCCTGGTCTTGATCTGTGGCACGTGATGGTGTGCTGCCTGCTGGACTGACTGCTGGTCTGTACATTGTCAGCTGCACAGTCTGCCTGGATGCAACAACTTATGGCTCCTGAAGGAAGCTGAAGATCACTGGCCAAACTCAGTACCCAAATGCCACTGCGTGGACTTGCAGGAGTGGGTTTTTACCTGACTGGCTGGTTCGTTAAAATTCCTTGTGGTTCCTCCTGATCAGTTGGATCTGAAGGTGACTGAATGTTTTGAACTGACTCTGACCTGCTGAATATTCACGTTTCTTAGCAAGCATTATATTTGAATGCCAGAAGGAGCTGGATACCATTGGAATAATCTCTTTCATGTAGAAATTATCTGTGCCACAGAGATTGTCTGACTCTAGCTGTGCTTCAGTAGCAAGGAGGGCACATGACAGCATGGCATGCAGTGAGTTTTGACTCGAATGTCTTGCAAGGTACTTTCATTTCTAGCCTTTGATAAGGAGCGAAGACACCAAAGGATTTGGCTGCTTTCCCAAGCCATAATGACTTAAGATAGCTTGGTTAGCTTGTCTTGCAAAATGAAAGTTCCAAGTGAACTGCCTGCTTTCAAATAGATGTTATACTAAGAGAAGCATCCAAAAATCTTCCTATATATACAGCTGAATTTAACATCCACTTTTAAGAGCTGTATTTTTCTACAGTAGAAGTAGGAAATCTGTATTGCCTTGCATGAGAGATGCAGTGTCCTTGTCCCAGTCACCTTTAAAACATACTAAAAAAAATAAAGAGTCCTTTTTGGGTGGATAATTTTCTGTGTCATCTAAAAGTGAAGGTTGCTACTTCAGAACCTGGCTTCTGTATTTTTTGGTAGCTCGCATGATGACATCAGAATTTAGCTTGGGTAAAAGCCTATGTTTCTGGCCCATTCATGACTCACATTCCCACAGGCTTGTCTTGTTAGTAACTGTTAATCAGCCCTTATAGTTTTGTCTTTTGAAGCCTCCTTAAAATTCAGCCCTAAGGACTGTTATGTGTTTAGGCTGTGGAACAGGGTAAATGTCAGGTCAATTGATTTCAGCCTCAGATTTTATTTATGGTGGATGACCAATCTGCAAACCAGCCTGTAATGCCTGAAGATGCATGTCATTGACCTGAAATCGAGACAGATGACAATAAATTAAATGTAGATGTAACTAACCCACTTGTCTGTTTCCATGGTTCTTAATTTTAGTGATGATGCTGTCCTTTTTTTTCTTTTTTTTTTTTGTTTCCCAGCATCAGCAGACCACAAAAGAAAAGTGAAATGTTGTCTACTTGATATGCAGACATACCTCTGATAATAAGTAGCTGGAAAAACAGGCAGAATGATCCATTTTTCTTCTTTTTAAGTTAATCATTGCTATTCTTAGCTGTTGTATGCAAAACAAAGCTTGTACATAAATTGATAGTGTCTTGAAGAAGCAAGCCTTTTAATCCTTTACTTCAGTAATGTTGAAATTGTATTTGACAGTGTTATATATTAAGTATTTAAAAAGGTGAAAGTAATGAGAAATGATACAGTTGTGGGTTAATGCCTTTAACATTTGGTGATGCACAGAACCAACACTGGTATGGAATTCACAGCTTAGATTCCTTTATCCCTGCAGAGCAGCATCTGAAATTTTCCATGCAAATGAGAGAGCGTGGTCTTGTTATGGACCGTATTCTTACAGAAGCTGAATTTTCATTGATCTCCATGGCATAGTCAGTAAGGAATGTTTCAGAATGTTGTCATGCCTGAGATGTCTTAACCATTCCCCTTATTGACTATGGGGGAAAAAGAGGGCTGTTACTGGGTGAACTTACTGTCTGGGGACTTAGTGAGTGCTAGGTGTTTATTCTGTGGCTGACTGCTGTCCCAAAACTTAACTCTGGCCCAGTAGGGTGAACAATCAGTGGGCTGGTTCTGTTGGGATTTGTCTCTTTAAATAATTTGATTTGGAGATTAGGTGACTTTAGGTGAATTTCACTCTGATTATTGATTTTGATTATTGATTCATTGGTTATATTGATTATAAAAGATTGGTCTGGGCAATGTTTGGCATAATATTGCTCTGCATCCTATACACGTAAAACTGGCTGGAGCCCTAAGGAGTTTATTAGAACACTGAAGTTTTGACGCCCATTTAATTTAATAAAAAAAAGTACATATTTTGATTAAAGAATTCCCTGGGATCTTGTTGCCTACTAAACTCCTTATGCGTATGCGTTCAAACTAATTTTAATACTTCTGTGGATTCAGATTGGTTTATATTCAGTGCTGTAGGACCTTTTCAGCATGGGAGGCTGCCCTTACAAAATTGGGGCTATCACACCTTCAAGAGTGCAACTATAAAGGAAGGGATGATCATTCTCTCTATTCCTGTAGGCATTTGCCCTTTCTCTTCTCATGGAGATAATAAAAATCTAGTCTCTTTAAGTGTTGCTCTGGTGTAATGTGAGTGTCTACTAATATATCCTGGTGTGATCTGATGGAGCACTGTGGTAAGATGCCTGAATTAAGAGAGAGAGAGGCAGCTCTAGAGCTGAAAGCAATATAGCTCTATTCCCTCTAGTTTGTGTTAATGTGCCTTGACTAATCTTGGCCCTGAAGCTGTGTCCCTTTGGGACTGTGCCACAGTGCTAAGCCACCACTGTGCTTCTGCTGGCATTGCCCTCTAGTCAGTACCAGTTGTACTTGTGAACTGCTGCACTGAGGACCCGCATCCCTTTTCCATAGCAAAGAATAGAAATGGTTTTAGGAGCATTCCTTGGGGCTTTGCAAACAACTGGAAGGGGCTTCTCTCTGCACCACCACCCAAAAAGCAAAGCCAACTCATCAGGAGTGTGGGGAGATGCTGGCACTGATAGCATCACAGTATTCCCAGGAGCCGGGGTGTGGAGTCAGAATTCAAACCAGAACTGGTCTGTGGATTTGGAGGGAGCTCATCTGAAGCTAGCTTCTGTTCTGCCTTCCACCTAAAGTAGCCACACTTAAGGCTGGAGTTCTTTTTCACTGCAAATGGTGTGATTAGTGCTGATTTGTGCTTCCTGAAGTATCCTCAGAGAATTCTGACATCTGAAATGGTATCTTTATGATTATTAGAAATTTTGTCATAAATGGATTGGGTTTATGCTGTTATACTCTGATTTAACTGTACTTTTTTTTCTTCAGGAAAATATAATAAAAAGGTATTAGTTTAAATAGCAATTTTTAAATTTTTTAATGTAAAATTTAGCTTGTGTCTGTGCTTACAAGTAACTTTTTTTTTTACTGGATGGAGTGCAGCAGGAGAAAACATTTTGAAGAATAACTGCTTCATGTCAATTAATGTTTATTTAAGATTCATCCTGAAGCCTGGATTTCAATGGCATTTCAATGGACTTGACTGGAAATCACTTTGGAGTCTTCTAGAATTTGTTCCATTTCATTTACTTATTATGTTCATTTAGGTACCTTTAAGAAGGCACTTACATCCCACTGATTTTGTTTGCATTTTAGGATGTATTTAAAAGTAAGCCTGTGTTTAATATCACTGTGGACAGTGGGAATGCAGGTTGCAGTATGGAGCCTTCTTTCAAGATGTGACACAAAGGTATGTCTAAAAAATGAAAGTAATAGCTAAATACTGTGGTGATAATAAAGTCCTTACAAATGTAAAATTAATTGCATTTCATGCACATAGATTAAAATCCACTGCATATAAATATATTTTGTATGTATTACTAATTTATATCATTAAGATGCTAAAGAGTAACTAAAATTACTGTGTAATTTATTGGCAAGAAACTGTACTTTTTGCTTTAAGACATTATCCCAAAGAACCTCAAAGATGGGTTTAGATTCTGTTCCCATTTATTATTGGAAAATCAGATTTTTGTTATTCTGCCAACAGACTTAACTGCAGGTTTTGTCTCATGCTGTCTTTGATACTACAGTACCATTGTAACCAACAACTGACATGGACCTGTTGAGGCACTACTAAAAGTAGATATGTAATTACAGAAGCTTATGAGCCACTTCTTATGCCATTAAAGAAACCTCTCTAATATTCCACTGTTACTCGTAAGAATTTTCCTTTGTGTGAAATGATTTTTGGATTTTTTTTTCTTATCTAGTAGTCTGTATATGTATGTACAATGCATTTATATTTATACATATAAACCAAGAGTAAAACTGATGTATGGATGCAGAACTGTTACTGTGATAATGTAATGATGTTTATGTTTATAGGATTATGCTTTGGTTTGGTTTTAGCCAGTGTTTTAAACAGAAGTATAGGAGTCTTTATGTAAGTACTGTTTCTCATTCTGTGAGTACCTTAGAAAGGTTGTCATGACTTCCATGTCTGAATTTCCTCCTCCAGAAGTTCAGCATTACAATGTGATATTAGGGTCAGTTTATAAATGTTGTAGGGAGTTGATGAATGTTAGCTACACGCACTTAGCAGTAAGTGTGTAGAAGTATGTATGTTTGTATGTGTGTGTATGCACATTTATTTTCATTTAGCAGTGTTAATATTTGAGTAACTTATGGTAACAGCCCTTCTCACTTCATGCTACTCAATCTTGTGTAGTACTGAAAGAAGAACGATGGCTTTAGGTGCTTAAGTAACTGAAGTCACAGGATGCCATTTGCATTTCTGTATGTTAGAACTCTTGATTTATGGTGACCGACAATCTTTGAGCTGTAAAATCTCATTTGATTGTAAATAGCCATTATCTCCATACCTGGCAGTGCTCAAAGCCAGGTTGGACAGAGCCTTGAGTGATAACGATCTAATGTGAGGCATCTCTGCCAATGGCAGGGGGTTTGGAACTAGATGATCTCGAGGTCCTTTCCAACCCAAATCATTCTGTGATTCTGTGACTATGATCTGCAAGTGTCATTTCTGTCCAGCATCCTCTAACATGCAAAAATTGGCATTATGGACTGCATTATGGTATGGAGAACTAATTGCACATAAGCTCATGGCCTGATGAGCATGTAATTATATTTATTGATAAAATAATTCTACAGTTTTGTTTTGCAGTGCCATAATAATGGCATCCACTTCAACAATTACTGTCAAACCACATAAGCCAAATGGCAGGAGGACTCCCTTAAATGTATCTGGCAATACAGCAGATTGGTCTCATTACTTTAGGTAGGTCCATTACAGCAAACTTCAGAGCTGAGAAGCTGAAGAAACAAGGATCTAAACAGCAGGTATCCCAATTGCTTGTCCACCAAGTGTTTATAATGAGCTGCCACATCATAAATAGAGGCTCAGGGGAAACCTTGTAACCAGTGCTGCTGCCCGTGTTCATGTTCAATAGCACACCCTAGGGAATGGAAAAGTGTTGTTAGGATCAGACTTGATGTAGGCATCAAGTTGTTGGACAGTTAAATGGCAGAAATCTTGGCTTGAGTCTGTGCACAGGAACCCAGAGTTACTCCATCAAATGCAGCTGGTTTGTGTTTGATTGTCACCAAAGTGGGTGACTTTATAGGGCGGCCCTTTGACTCTCACTACAGGCAGGACTAGTAACAGCATCTATTACTGAGGCTGCCAGGCACTTCCAGCCGTAAAGGCCTATTTTCAGGTCTTCATGACTTTCAAAGTAGCTTTTCAAACTAAATTTTTCCATGTTGCATTGGGTGTCTGCCTCAGGCTGAATTCTCTTCAGAAGTTTCAGCCAGAACAGCTTAATGTCTTCCAAGCGCAAGATTAGAGAAAAATACATTATTTTACCCATTCTAAAAAAAAATACTGGCTATGTTTT